TTGTACTCCTATATAAACCAAAGGATAAAAAGAAGGGGAAATATTCCTGCACTATGGGGGGACAGTACTGCTTCATCATTAATGGAGGACGACTTTGGTAAGGCTCAAGTGTTCTCGAACTACTTAAGCAATGTATATACCATAGAAGCACCCTTCCCGTCAGTGCATAAAAATCTCCCCACACATACACTGGACTGCGTGTCTTTGGTCTGCTAAATAAGCTTGACTTAGGTAAATCCATGGACACCAATGAACTGCATCCCACGGTACTAAAGGAATTATCTAACTTCGCTGCGAACCCTTTAAGTATATGCTTCAATCTATCCGTGATGCAGGGTCGTTTACCAAAAGACTGGAAGAACGTCATAGTAAGTTCTGCCTTCAAAACAGGTTCGAAACATAAGCCTGAGAATTACCAACTTGTTAGCCCAACTAGTGTAGCTGTTAAAACCTTAGAAAAGATTATTCGGAAGGAGATGTTTAAGACCGGATCCTTTCGGAGAGGCAGCATGGTTTTAGAATAGGTTATTCTTATCTCACTAACTAATTAGTGGCTCGTGAAAGCTGATGCGTTCTTAAGGACCAAAAGTTACCTGTAGACGTAGCCTTCATCGATTTCAGCAAAGCTTTCGACGAAGTTCCGCACAACCGGCTGTTATATAAGCTAATAAATGTCGGAATTGGAGGCAATCTATTAATGTGGATAAAAGACTTCCTAGTTAGGTGCCAACAAAGAGTACGGGTGAACTCAAAGTTATCTAGCTGGGAAACTGTGCTTGGTGGGGTGCCTCAGGGTACAGTCTTGGGGCCAGTGTAATTCCTCTTATATGTGAATGACCTTCCTCGTCTCCTATCATCATCGGTCCTGCAATATGCTGACGATGTCAAGATATGGAGGACGATACGATGTAAGGGTGATAGCTTAGAACTCCAAAATGAAATGAAGAAATTATCTGAATGATCTAAAACCTGGCATTTACCGACAAATACTTTCAAGTGTGTTACAATGCATATCGGTCATCAAGGTACAGATACATACACGATGAATAACACTGAGCTACCTGTTGTGCAGACACGCAATGGCTCAGTAGTCATCGTTGGCCAAGACTTAAGGACTACTGCACACTGCTATGCAATAGCCACCAGAGCTTTTATAACGTTATGGTCAATACGTAGGGCTTTTAGTCATGTCGACGCTAAAACGTGTTTGACTTTGTACACAGTGTTCGTACGTCCTAAACTTGTGTACTGCATACAAGCGGCTAGCCCCTGCTTAAGAAAAGACAGTGAATTTTTGTAAAAAGTTCAGAGGGCAGTAACTAAGCTGATTTCGGGAATAACGAAGCTCCCGTATGATGCTCGACTAGCTAAGTTAAACCTATTCCCTTTGTCATATCGAAGAACTAGAGGCGACTTGATTACAGTTTTCAAATTGCTTAGTGATAAATTTGTGCGTGATATTCCCTCATTTTTCCTGTTTTGCAAAACAGAGAATTTACGAGGACACTCCAAAATGTTCACAAACCAGGACAAATTACTTGCCAGTTGACCATCGACTTTCCCTTCGAATCATCAATGAGTGGAATTCATTACCTCAGCACGTGATTCGAGGCTCCACCCGTCGACTCTTTCAAAAGAAAGTCGGATCAACTGAGAGACTATCATTTCCAGGACTAACACAGGCCATCAAGCCTCCTGTCGTTTCCAAACTGAAACTGAACTTGGGATTTGGTTGCGCGGTTTATTTTTGTAAGTCGGTACGTTTCGGCGTGCTTTTGGTATTCGGAAATAATATGTCTAGCACTTAAGAAAGCGTAAAGAACTGTAAGTTATATTATATTAATCTAGTACTACATTTCACTAGATTTTGAAGCTTCCACTGTCCTTGGGCAATTATAACTAACACAGGGGATAGCCCCTCTGATAGCAGTAAACGGACCGACTGAAGACATTTTATCTGTTTGTAAGTGCTTACATAGGTCTTCAAAAAGAAGTGAACTGTTGTCATCCATTCATGTTAATTTACATTAAGTAAATAAACGAATAGGCCTTAAGATAGTTGTCTGGAAAAACTGTATAAATACAATTCCACTCAAAAATTTTTGTGAAAGGACTACTTGATTAAAATGGTTAGAACACTAGCGAATTCAGCCTGCATGATTCTTGGTTTTTGTTGCACTGGCGTTTGTGTGTATGTAGCTATTGTTTGTATACAGCATGTTAATATGTACCAAGTTAGTTTAATCAGTATTCCCAGCTGTAAATTTCGTTTACTAACACAAAGCACTATAAGCCTAGTAAAATTTTAAAAAAATGCACACGTCATATAAATTGCGTTATCATATATTTAACCTCTACTATGTCTGGTAACTTCAAGAGTTCAGCTACAAAAATGTCTTGTTACCTCGACTTACAGCTGTTCTCCTAGTACATTGAGAACCTTACCTCAATTCGTGAGGTCACTTCATGACACATCATGAATAACTAACCGCTTACTAAGTGTTTAACTGGTTCATTTCAGAAGTTAACAACGAACTTGTTCTTCAAAGTAGTTGGTACATTTATTTACTGTTCACATACAATTTACTGAAAATCCTTTTAATATGTGGATGAATACTCTTGACGCAGTACAAATGTCGTTACTCTGCATAGACATCGTGTGAGGAAACAATATTGTGAGAAATGCATTTCACTTCACGTAATAGTTTCGATCGCTACAACCACAACACTATTATGTGGACTGTAGAGTTTTCTCACTGTCAAGTCATTAAGTACTAGAGCCAGTTATTCATTTGTTGCATAAGCATTTTCGTTGTATAGTGCTATATATCGGACAGTGCGTTGGCTTCATTCTAGATCATAAACAGCTGGAAATGTAATCAAGGTATAAAGTAACTTAATCTACGACTACTCCAGTGAATTTAAATAAGAATCAGAGGGCTTGTGATCAAATCTTCAGCGTCTGCGGATTTGTTTGCAATAAGGCATGATTTGGTTCTCTTTTATGCACTTTTTGGCTTCGCAGTAGTGTTGTGGTTGTGTATTAAGTAATGTGTTCAACGTACCTAACTATGAATTTGGCGAGACTATAAATTGTGTACTAACCAATCAGGTATAAGAAAACAGGTCTTGGATTTTGGCACGAAATTCACTCATCCATTTAACTAAATAGAGTTTTAGCATTTAGCTTATGTCAGTTCGTGATGTAAACCCTAAATCTAATTCCTAGCCTTAACCATCTAATTCCTCACACAGGTTTATAACACTCATTCGGTCCCAAATATTAGGTGGACACTCTCAAGGTCAGTTTAGCGTCGCACAAAGTTCGCCCATATATTATAGTCTCATCATGAATTCTTGTCTGCTTATTAATGACTTGTTTATTCAAAAACTACTAGCAAACCAAACGTTTCATTTTTACAACTGTATATCATAAATACGTTACTTTCATGTTCCAAGCTGCTAGTTACTGCTAGATAAAAATTCATGGAATAAAATAAATAAATAAAATAAAATAAATAAAAGCCTATATAGTTGTGAGATCCTCGTTGTCTTTAACGATAACGTATCCGTGCCTTTAACGAGACTGATCTCGTACCACATCGCTACAGATAAATTTAGTTTCGTATTCAAAAACTGTTTGATCAGCATTCACATCCGATAATGCTTTTCAGGGATCGATCTATCAGGAAATATATGCAGATGACATAGTTCTATTAGTTGGAGACCTTTATATAAACTGGTCTTCTTATCACCTAGGGGAACAACACAAACAGGCTTGAGGTTTGTTTCTCTCTTTCTAAATAAAAAATGTTGCTTAAGAAGTTGCCTGCGACAGTGCTTAGACTTATGATAGGGATCAGAGTATTTGAGTACATTAATCAATTGATTTGTATTGCAAGTCTTATCATCCATAGTAGATTGATGTTTGACGAAACTTTAATCGATTTTTGCCAACCTCTGTCACTTGTGATGTAGAGATGTTCGTCTACCAACTAAAAGACGAGTTTACTGCTTAGCAGTTTGCTCGATTCCACCTTGTGGCTTTGAGACGTGACCTTTAAGAATAAAAGATATTCGTGGATTACTAGCATTAGATCACCAGTGCCTTCAAAGCATCGTTGGGGTACATTGGGACTATGGAGTGAACAGTGTCGAGATTAGCCGCAATGTATTGGGGTAAAAATGAGAAATTGATGGATAAAGTACTTAATCTTATATGCAGAGGTTGTTGAGACATGTATTGCGTCTGATCAACCACTTCCTACTTTGATGTGCTAAGCCTGTTGGTCTAGGTTGGGACAAGACTGGAGATGGCCAAACAAAGATATATAGCTAGTCTATGAAGTCATTGGCTGTTGTATGTAGCAATGCTGGTAATTCCAGGCTACGCGGTTGACGTATGCGTTATTATCGTAACCATTTCTTAGAAACTTTGGAAGACATGACTCAGAATCTGTCACAATGGCCCAGATATATTCACTCTTTTTCTTCCCTCAGATGCTGAGTTTTAAATGACTCGTCAGCTTTTCGTTCCACGAATTGATTGTTTTCAAATAACATCGTTTATGTCTAGCTTTTTTCTAATACTGTCGCTGGTACTACTACTGTGCCAAGACTTGTCTTGATAAACTCACCTAACAGTGCTAATATGGGGTGGCTAATTTAGTCGATGCACATATGTGGCAGGTTTTTCGCTGCGTGTGACTGATTTACTAATTCCATTCAGGAGAACGATGTAATCTGAATATTCCAAGTTATTCATAGTGTGTCTTTCTATAAAACTTAAGATGTATCAAACGTTTTACACATAGTCGTTTTTTAATAAAATGTCAGCGAATCGCTCCACTAGATAATCAATGTTGGTGTTTAGCTTCAAACTCTTTATCAATAACATGTTCATAAAACTCAAACAGATTTTAAATATTTTCCTCAACTATTGTAATCTTATTTTGCCAAATATTAATTACTAAAGCTGTTATTTTAGATTTTATCTACTCATGGACTCCAAGCGCCCTAAATTATGTTCTCTGGAAACTGATAATGCTGACAATGAAGTGGATATCCTTCAACCCAGAGAAGTTGGAATCACTACGTTCGTACAACCTTTAGTTCAAGGTTTTGACGCAACGTTGAAAAATAGGTATGTTTGATTTTAAACACTACATATATTCATACAGATGGGAAGACTTCATTGTCCGTGAATTTAGAGGTCAAAATTATGCAAAGCTTACTGATTTAGCACCAATTCCGGATCCTACTCCTGAAGTAACTTTTAGAAACACTTATTTATATACTAGGTTTATGATTTTAATATGGAAAAGAAACTTGAAGTTCATTTGTCTGGACTTCAAAATTTGAGCCGCGGTGATAGTGAAGTATTAAAAATTAAAGTACCTCAGTTATTTGAGACCATTAAAAAATCAGGCCCCAGATAATAAAGCAGACAGAACACAGATCCACCAAGCAATACGTGCATTATTCCCATCACTTGAAAGCACGACATCAAAAGACGGCAATGAAAATATGATTGTTGTACATCGAAAAGACCATCCTGAAGGTTAGTTTCTAAAATCACAATTATTATTGATATCGTTTTCAGCCAAAGGTTCACGACATTCTAAAAGAAAAGCCGATGGTATGTCTAAAAGTGCACCATACTGCCATTTTGTACTTTACAAGGAGGGTAAAGACACACTTAGTGCTATCCAAGTTCTCAGTCGTTTCCTACAGTATGTTTTATCTTATTACTCCCTTTTGATTTTAAAGTGTTGGACCCAGTATATTTTCATTTGCTGGTACGAAGGATCGTCGAGCAATTACCACACAATTTGTTACAGCGAAAGGGTAAAATTATTCAAATAACCAATTTTCATATAGTATAAATTCGAAAACACTATCATTGCTGAATGCACGGCTTCATGGCTTACGTTTAGGCAATTTTTCATACGTTTCTTCTCCTCTGTTTCTCGGAGATTTAGATGGAAATCAGTTTGTAGTTGTGCTAAGGTTAGTTTATCAACTTCACAGCAATATTGCTTTTTCGTCTATAGATCGGTGTGTGCACCAAGATCCGTCGTTGAAACTGCAGTCGGGACTTGGAAAAACACTGGTTTTGTGAACTATTACGGTCTTCAAAGATTTGGACATTCTCCCAAATCCAAAAGTTTCGAAATTGGAAAGTATGATAGATCTAATCATTCTGTCTCATAAATATCTATTTGTTAACTTAATTCTATCCAAATTTCTCTGAGACCTAATGTTATTAATCAGCCGTTCAAATATATATATATATAACATCAGAAGTCCACAATTTGAACACCAACATTAGTAGTTGATGGGAAACGGTACAAGATTATTCAACAGTAACTGGTAACGTGAACTTTATTGACTTGTTAACTTCCCTGACAGTCCTCGTCTGAATAGCAACCAAAATGACTTAGCCGTTAGCCACGCAATAATTTGTCTTTTTTTGTAAACTAAGATGTGAAATAAAAAGTCCTCAGTGATTTTAAGATTTTGGACAGTAGTCAGTTTTTGTTCCATTATAACCGCAAACTTTTGTCATTTTTAGGGCTATAAGATAGCCACCAAGTTTAATGGCAGTAATTAGCGAAACATTTCGCAATCTCTTATGTTTAATAGATTCGATGAATTGCACTGTTAAGCAATTATTATTTTATGTAATGTTAGTGAATTTCGGGCATAAATATAAAAAGAATGTTTAACTGTTCTTCGACGCATATGAATGGTAGATATCAAGAGATTAAGTAGCAATTGTAATTTAACCTACCAGTAATTCAAAATGATGCCGATACAAATATAATGTGAAGAAACTTCTGTTATAATGCACAACGAATATCCATTTTGTGTTTAATAACGGACCCTAAACAGATAGATGGAGTAGCAACGAGATCTCCCCTAGGTCCAATATTCGCCTATATTTTTCTAATCGGACTGAAAAATGGACCACTACATGATAATCATAATGAAGTAGAATGCTACTGCCGTAGATGACAAGCTAATTATATGTGATAAGACGGTCAACTCACGAAAACTGTTAGAAACATTTAATAATGCACACCGGCGTTTTGATTTTTCTTAAAAAAAAGTATGCATAACTTTTAATTCTCCAACATTCTCCTCCTCCTCGAAATAATGTTGGGTCCTTATGGCTCCAAATTATAACTAGTAGGACTTTATTTAAACCATGTTTCTCGTATTGACTGGAGAATCCACTAAAATGACTAGATGATGATGAACAACCTTTGATCTGAGTTCATTATTTTCAAATTCATTATGAATCTCGTTAGCTGATAACGAGTCATTAAGAAAGTCAACGTCTAACAGAATTAGATTAGATTTTTGGCCATCATTCGACTCAGCTGACATATTTCCCTCATTGTTATAAGAAGGTTCATCAAAATCATATGCATTATTCTGAGAATCAATATCTGGTACACTGTCATTAGAAATGGGATAAGTTGACTCAATATAAAATTCTGTCTTCCGGTGATTTTGAGTAACATCTGGTACAATTTGGTTCATCGTGTTGCTCCAGTTATTTTCTGAATACGAGTCACCATAGCTTTCTCGACTAATAGCACGTGGACCACAATTTTGTTCGAGCTGACGTTTATTTTCGCAGCTAGACAGTACCAGTAGTGTTTCATTTGATTCTGGACTCCGGGCTTCATCTACAGGACCTGGCTCCTGATCATCTGGTATTGTCACAACTTCATGTGCATTCAGCACAGTATTTTCTTGCTGTGAGCCGGACACGTTACAAATATTACGTTCTGATTCAGGTATAAAGGGATTTGAACCCTCCACTAGATATGCTTCTGAAATGTCTGTTACTGCATCATAAACAGATTTCTTATTTTCTGGTCGAGTGAAAAGTGTGTTCAATAGTTGTTGTTGCAAGGCTAACAACTTCTGCTGGTGCTGTAATATTAACCGCAACTGTTCTAAAGAAATCGCCATTTTTCTTTAGTTTTTCCCCGTCGCCACTGTTATAATCTCTGGTTTCTTACGGTTAATGACCCAGCTATTCCTATTGCTTAGTATTCTCGGACACCGATTCCTTAGATTAGTTCCACATGTGAAGTGCCATAATTAGGTAGAATTTTTTGACATCCTTCTCTCTCAAAGGTTGAATGGTTCGTATTAAAAGGATACAAATTGGTTCAGAGCATGTTCCACTCAGTATTATGTTGGAGCACGCTGGCTGGACCATTTTTAGTCGATCAGCACCACTAGATAAATGGAAAAGACTAGAATATTCTTATGTATCAGTAACAAATATACCAATATTTTTCTTACTGTAATTTATCTCCATTCAGTTTGGTTTGCTTCAGAATATTATTACGTTCCTGTCCTAGCTGTGTTCTGATTTCGGGATCATTTAAGTGGATTAGCGTCTGTACAATACTTGGTAACAGAGGTAACTGAATTGAATAGAGATGACTAACAGTTCGGTGCAAAGAAATGTTTTTAGAAAAAGATCTTGGAACAACATATTGACTTCCACAGCTTCACATCCTTGCATCATAAAATCAATCTATTTAAATCTCGAAGTCGCAAAATTCAAAAACTACTCTGAGGATAATATAAACGAGGAATTAGACAAACTAATGTTGTCGCTACTAAAAAATGGATACTTTAGTAATTTCATAAGGAAATACATTACAGAACCCAAAAGAAAGACATGAACTTCCAAAGTTGAGAAGAAAACTCTACATTTAAAACTTTATTACACAGGTAATATAGCGAGTAAGGTTCTATAAGTTGTTTAAATGCATCTGGTTATTCGATATGTTAGTACCTCCGAATTACACGTAACTTTCCCAACGAAGCCAATACTAACCCAGCAAATTAAGGATACGATACCCGTCTATCAATTTAACTGTCCCTGTGAGGCTGGTAGCGTCGGTCCCTAAGCGATCGTAAACACGTACAGTCATGATTAGGAAAAGGCGTTACAAAATTTATTGATAGTATCATTTCTCGCCTAATTGATTATATGCGTAGCATCAGGATTGAAAATGCTTTCTCAGTTATACATCAAGTTCCTGGTAATTTATTAAACGGCTCAAAATAATAATTACTCCGTATAGCTGAAGCAATTGGAATCGATTTCAAGAAGCCTAACTTATATGTACAAAAAAGTTCATTCAAACTTGGGCCACATTAGTACTCTTTCATTCTTAGTCCCAATTTTATCCCTTCCCCTTTATCATAGTTTGCACTCTCTCGCAGGACACTTTTTCTCTTCTTTAATTATGCATTCATCTTTATTATTTTACATGATATGCTTATAAATAATTATTCCTATTATTATTATTGTTACAATTCTTATTTATTAGATATCTTATTCGTTCGAAATGGGCGGACGCTATTGACCTTATCTTGAAACCAACTTATGCAGGTAGTGTATGCTATACTTTACATAATATTATGTTAGATTTACCTTTTCTTAGAAAAGTTAAAGAAAAATTCTTACAATCCGGTGATGCAAAGGGTTGTGCTGACGATTGTCCATTGGGTATAGAAAAAACTTTACTGTTAGGTATTGCGAAGTATGGCAAAACTTTGAATGCCATCCAAATGGTATGTCTATGTAGAACACAGTTAAATGATACTTTTTAATCAAACTATGATCTTTTGTTTATCTATGCTAAATTATAAAATCAATTACCTACTAATCTTATAAACAGTTATTTATGTCCCAGGATATGTGGCTTTTAGTATTAGATTGAGATTCTAATTCTTTAAACACTGTCACCCCTTTTACCATTAAAATTTATTTCTAGTCTAGATTTTCTAACTACAGATTAACACCGAATGTGTTTATCTCATAATATTAAGAAGTTAGTTCGACGTATAGCCTCCATATAAATTTGTAGTGCAATATAGCACTCATCTAAGTAGTCTCATGCTGAAAGACCTTAAAATACAGCTTTCACACTTTTCTATCGTCCTATAAAAACGGATCAAATTATTTTATGAAGGATCCATAAAATTGTTCTGATGAGGCCACATTTGTGTGCAATTATTTTAGTCCAGTTTGGACTGAAAGATTAAAAAACACAAAACCACAGAATTAAAATGTATTAGGTTTTAATTGCTGTAGGTCTTTGATTCTACATTAAAAACTTTATAACTTGTTTGTTTCCAAAATAACGAAAACCAAATCACTGAAAGGAAATTCTAATGGTTCATTATTTAGCATAATACAGGAAGACTTTTCTATCCGTCAATACCACAAGCAACTAACATTTTGTAGCAAGATTTAGGTTAACTGACAATCTAAATTAAAGTTTTCCATTTATCTGCACTACTTCCTATAGCATACTCATTCAGTATAGTAACTGTACTTAAAGTTGTGATTTGTTTGGGTAAACAAGGATTATTTCCACCTAATTCTTCTGTTGTAACCGATTAGTGCCACAACCAGGATATTGCTCAACTCAGAGCTCGTACACCTCTACTTAGCAAATAAGTTACATTTAGTCAATCATGTAATAAGTTTCAGGAAAAGTTGATTCTATTCTATCAATTAGTAGTAATCAGTTAATCTGTTTACTCTATTTTGATTTTTATACTAATAAATGAATTTTTTCTTAATTAGTGTCCATACCGCACAACACTTTAATGACGTTTTAATCTGTTAGTCAAAAAAGTTTGTATTAAATTTGCGAAACAAAGAAGTTTTTCTTTCTACTTGCATATACGCATATAAAAGGTGCTAAAAATGTAATTGTTGGAGTGGCGATAATAATAGTACACATTGTTCACAGTATTGTAAACACCAGTTATACTAGACCGTGACCTAGAACTTTTGCCATCTTGATATTTCTTTTGTTGAAACACAACGTAATATCATGGGAAATATTGATCGCACTGAATGGTGTGGTACAAATAATATTACTGTATAAAGATACAAAAACCAGTGTGTAATTTTATAAGTAGGAAGAAGTACAGACAAGGATACATTTCGAAATTCATTATATACTGCTTTACGCAACAGTTTGATTGGAAGTCTTGATTCCTTAAATGCCCTGGTATAGTTGAAAGTGAAGAGAATCCATTCTTTCTCCAGAACACTCTCATGCACCCTTATATTTAAAGCCTCTACTAGGGACATTCTATTCACTTCGTTCACTAGGAAGGGGTGTTTTTTGCGAAAGTGTAAGGACAAAAAACGAACATTCAGCCCTTCCGTTGCAACCAAGTATTAAACTCATTTAGGTTCAATGATATCTACCAATCCCCCGATAAGTGTAGGCAAGTGTTGGTTGTGTTTTCATGATCCTCTAAAAATAGCTGACCATATAGCTTGCGGCTTCGCTACACCTAGTCTTCAGAAGGAGGACTCCATTAAGCAAATTGGAGATGACGGTACCGGAAGTCGGTATTGGTTTAAAGTAAGTTGTGATCTTCACAAAGTTGTAAGAAATAGTCATTATCATCTGACATGCGACCATCGGGTCCTCACTGGTCGCCCAAGCGACTCCCCTCTGTGCCTTGTTATATCCGAGTGGAGATTAAATTACAGGTAACTTCCGAGGACCATTCATGGACTGATATTCTATAAATATTCTTATTGTATAACTATTCAACAATTACATTATGTATATTTATACCCCTCTTATGACAAGCTTTATTTTGGCCTATAATTTATTATTGTACGATTTACGGTTCTTAAGTTATGTTCAGTTTATTAACTACTGCCTCCCACATTCACAGCCACTTTTTGGGCTTATTTGTGTACAAATATTATTTCCTATTTTATGGTACGTTGCGGTCTGTGTGATTGATATATAAACCAAGTATGCCTGAAATAAACGATCTGCTCTGATTCGAAGCTGGTATTGTGTTCTGGACTCAAGTGGAAGGGCTCGTAGGACATAGGACCAATAAGGACGCTAAACTGCCCACACCGGTTGAACGTCATTGGTTGGCCTAGTGTGAAGATTCGTATAAGTCGTATCCGAATTGGTAGATAAGTCGTGTGATCGAAAAGTCAGACATCCAAGGTCATAACAGCCTAGACTCCTGAAGCGTGTAATTAAATCTCCGGCTAGCACTACGAAATCTGTCATATTTGGTGGCACCATTCATTAATTCGATCATTCAACGACTTGAGACCATTTTGACAGGATATAGCTTTCAATGGAGGCGAGTTGTTGAGTTAGTTAAAAAATAAACATACACGTAAAGTGAGGAATACAAAGAGGACGCGGTATAAAGTAAATTTGTGTGTAACCAAATAATTGTGAATACTGATTGCGTGCAGAGCGAGCACATTTTCGTCAATAGTAATCACCATAGCCTTTGTGTAGTATAGTCAAAAGCTTCGTCCATAAATCTGTATCTGACAAATGAGTTATATTATTATTATTAAATCTGATATCTAATTATTAATGCCTATACTATATCTTATTCTGTTTTGATTTAAGGTCTTACATAAAATGTATGGATGAGATCGACAACCTAACTTAATTTATTAAAATCCAATTATTATTGTTGTTAAACTGTATCTTTCATTTTAAAGCCAACTGTAAATAACTTTTAGCATACAGTAATCACATCATTTACGTTCTGTTAGCTTGGCAGAGTTATCCAAAGAATATTGAAATAAACATACTTTGTTGGCTAAGTCATATGGAATGCTTTCGGAGACATGGGTTCGTGTACATCTGTGGATTAAAAGACTAAATAATGAATTTAATTTCTATTCTTCATGAATTTTAATCATAAATTACTATACATCTTTCATATATTTATTCTTCCTCGGAAAAATAACCACTTTTAGCTTCCTCGAAACCTTCGCCAACTCTATGTACATAGTTATCAATCTTTCTTATGGAACCATGTGGCAAGTCTACGCATGACTCATCAGAATCCTGGTGACTTTTTCGCTAAGCCTGGTGATCTTTATTATAATGATCAGAATGTAATAACTACAGATAATTATGAAGATGGTATGTTGTTTGTCAACATATAACATATTTATTTTTAGAAGCTATTTATTTAAGGTCAGTGTTCATCATGCATAGATATCAGTTAAGAAATCAATTTTGAAAACCAACTTGCGCATGATAATTATTTAATTTGGAACTTATCTACTATGTATATTACCCACTTTTCCTACAGTTAAACTTTTACTAAAACCTTATTACTATCTACTCAGTCGTTCATTTCTTAAATTCAACCAATCTATTATAGGCGATTATTCGACGCCGTCAACAGCGATAAATAATAGATTATATTGATTTCAACCAAAGATATGTACATTGCAATAATAAATGTCTGTCATCCTTATGATGACTTCATACATAAAGAGTGTAGCTCATAATCAACTACCGAATCCAGTAGTTAGTAAATTAGTTGCAATAATAAATTTGTATGCCTCAATAAATTTCTTTTAAATACTAAATAAATCAATATTTGGTACATTTTCATTTTAGATATTAACTTCGACGAATCTGTGTTAGAAACAGACAACTCTTCAGTATCATCGGCGAATTCCCTCCCATCATCTAAATTATCATTCATACATCCACTAGTAGTTGGAGAAAATGAAAAAATCCCTTTAAATTCAGTTGTACTTCCTGTTCCTGGTTACGCTGTACAATATCCTAAAAATAATAGTAAATGAAGTTTTTATCTGTTTTTTATATTGTACAACTCTGCATTTACATATTTGCTTGAATATTAGATTTAATATTCCTTTATATCAAGCCCAATACATGATTCGAGTACATGTGACATTAGAAATGAACTACTTACAAAATTTGAGTCTCCTTGATGTGTATATGCTTAAACACATAGTTCTTGTCCTTTGTTGGAGAATAATAGAGATGGCTGTTGTCAAGATTCCTCAAGTAGTTCCTCAGCTTTCTTGATGTGTTCTTTTTTGTCCATAATCACTATGGTGCGTCCTTTGTCCGCTGGAACTATGACAATATCTTTTCTAGTTCTGAGTTGCTCTAAAGCTTTTTGTTCTTGTGGGGTCCGTTGTTTGTTGTCCTTCATCCGTTGAGTTAGCGGTACTTAAGGACAAGAGCACATACAAACTTGTGGAAATAATAGGGAGATTTCAGCATGTAACCTGACATTATTATACTCGCTTTGTAGTTAGCAGTGGAATCCAGGACGTACGTCCTGCCCCATCTAGGACTAGTCATCTGGATGCACCTGTTAATGCTAAGACTCAAGCCCAGTGAAGGACTTTTAGAATACTAACCCGTTATTCTTTAAGCTACTGAATTCAAACAGGCACTAACTTGGTAAACAAGTATAATTTTTATTCGTAAGGGTTTTCGTCATGTTAAAAATAGGTGATACTACGTTACCTTAAATGTAGTTCAATACAAGACCTTTGAGTGAAACGTGATGGAATATGATCAATGTATGACAGACAGTCATAATGATAAAAACGTTTCACCAAATAAAGTTCTGTAAGTTTCCGTATTTCTGATTTATCTTTGGTGGTCAATTTATTTCTTTATTTCAATGTCGATTAATGAACCAAGTGAGAAAGAGTTATCTGATAAGTTTCTTGTCTCAGTAGCTCATTTTAAAGTGATGTATCCGTCAGGCTAGTAACCGATATAAAAAATAACTTATTTTATACTTACCTACTCAATCGACAACTTCCTCTGAACACGTGATAGCAAATTTAATACCCTCCTCTCGATCCAAACATTTTTTAGACTTAATTTTGCCTTGGTACTCCTTTCAACTCTTGAATTACATAAAGTAATTCAACTAAAACCTTTATTGCTTTCTCATATAAGTACAAATTCTACACGATCATTATACAATTACTATTTGCTTATTCACAATAATTGATTTAGGCGCTGATTGGTATACCGAATTACTAAAAGAAGATTGTTTGACAGTCAAAGATTTCAGTCATTCAGTTAAGTAAGTCTAATTCTCTAATATTTTTTTCGTGTAATCCTGATTTTTGTATACTTTTTACACTAGATATTGAATAATAATAATTATCAGTGAGATGTCCTCACAATAACATACTCCTTTCTAATTTCGTATAACCCTTTTTAAGTCATTGTATTTGTAATCTTAAGTTCCACAGATTAAATCTCCGAACTAGACCATTGAAGTGATAACACATAATGAAGATTAAACACACTTACTCAACTATTTATTAAACCAAATGAATATCGTATATATGTGAATCAAAAGTTTTCTACCCACTCAGTTGCAGCAACTATTTTACGAAAATGAGACGACGAAAAGCGAATGTCCGGCGCTTTAACCGGATCACAAACCAATGGTGCACATGGGCCCCAGTATCCTGCGGGAACAAATGGCGTATGAACCAATTTTCGGTCACCGGCTACCATGGGACTGCATCTCCTTACGATGCTCCACTGCCTTGTGGGTTAGACCTTTAGGTCAGAGGCTCGGGGTGTGGCCCCCTAAGATAACCACCTCCTTCGGTCTGGGCACCCGGGCAGTATCACAGCCCACACGCAATTAATGAACTGAAATTGTGTGGCGCATATATATTTGGCGCACTCCTGTACCAATATATATGTGTTCAAATAAATAATAAATAATAAATATCATTTATGAGATGGATGAATACTAATGCCATCGTCTCTAATTTCGTCGGAGTGCAAACAATGGGGGGAATGTTGGCAACTGTGATGTCTTCGTTTTCCTCTTTTTCCAGCATAGCAATAAGCTGTAAATTTTTTATACCATTCATAATTATTCAGTCAAAGCAAATCTAAGACAGGTTTGTTGGACCCAAAGTTTGATCCCCATAATGATTTGCGATTTATTGGCAATGACCGCTGCATCTGTGAATTTTTTTGACTTCCATCTCAATGTACATGTAGAATCTGTATTTTAGCGAAATTTCATTGTTGTTGTAGAGATTTTGCACTCCCTGGTTCTTATCGGAAATTAATTGTTGTCCCGGAAAACGTTAAATACGAATTTCATGAATATTCAAACCCTGATATACCTCTAGTGAAGTCTGATCTTCAGTTACTAAATGGTACAATTACAAGTAGTATTTTAACTCCTGCTTCACAAAATGAGACACAAAATAATGATATCTGCTTAGATAAAGGTAATTAAACCAAATTTCTTTTAATACTTTCATTCGTATGCATTTTATCAATATCTCATGTTATATGAAATGCCTTTGACTTCCGTCATACTTCGTAGGTTGTTCAAAACTTACTTTGCTTTACTTACCTACACACTTACTTTAAAAAGGGTTCACGTCGTTTTTGTAACAACTATCGGGGGATAAGTCTACTTCCGATTGCGTCCAAGCTATTGGCTTCCGTCATACTTCGCAGGTTGTTCAAAACCCGAGAAAGATTTACTCGAGAGGAGCAGGCTGGTTTCCGTTCTGGTCGAGGATGTACTGATCATATCTTCACCCTCCGCCAAATGTTAGAACACCGTCATACTTATCAAAGGCCAACAATCGTAGTGTTTCTTGACATCAGGGCTGCCTTCCATTCGTTGGATAGGACTATTCTCTGGGATTGTCTTTTGAAGGAGAGTGTGCCTGAGAAGTTTATTAACATCCTAAAAGCCCTATATACAAACACCTCAGGCAGAGTGAGGGCATACAACCACCTCTCTCCATTGTTCCATTCGAGCAGTGGGGTTAGGCAGGGTTGCCCAATCTCACCATTCCTCTTCAACTTTGCCATCGATGACATTCTGGAAACAGCTCTGATGGATGTAAGTAATGGTGGTGTGGATCTGTTGCCTGGAGAAAGACTTGTCGGCCTTGAATATGCGGATGATATTGTTTTACTGTGCGATAATGCCCAAGCCATGCAATCCGCACTTAATCAGTTGGCAATCGATGTCCGTAGGTACGGTATGTGCTCTGCACCTTCGAAGTGCAAAGTACTTCTACAAGACTGGAAGGATTCTAATCCTGTACTCACCCTGGATGGTGAGCAGATTGAAGTAGCCGAAAAGTTCGTGTATCTAGGTAGCTGTATAAGTGCTGGTGGTGGCGTGAGTGATGAGATCAATACACGTATAATGAAAGCCAGAGCGGCTTATGCCAATTTGGGTCATCTTTGGCGCCTTCGTGATGTCAGTCTGGCCGTAAAAGGTCGGATCTACAATGTGTCGGTGAGAGCAGTTCTGTTCTATGCTTGTGAAACCTGGCCTCTCCGAGTTGAGGGTGTTAGACGACTCTCTGTGTTTGATCATCGTTGTCTCCGAAGGATTGCTGACATCCAGTGGCAACACCATGTTAGTAATGCAGAGATTCGGCATCGTGTGTTCGGACGCGGGGACGGCAATGCGGTTGGTGTCACCATCTTGAAACATCGACTTCGGTGGCTTGGACATGTTCTCCGAATGTCGTCCCAGAGAATTCCACGTCGTGCATTATTTGCCGAGGCTGGGACTGGTTGGAAATAGCGGAGAGCTGGTCAGTGTATGACATGGTGTCGTGGTGTGAAAGAAAGCTGCAAATGTTTGGCTTCTGTCGGCCCTTCACGCCCCCCTGGTTGGGGTCCGAGAAATGGTGCAACACAGTGGCTAGAGACATTATCAGATATGGCTCAGAATAGAAGCCAATGGCGATCCTGCTGTAACCTTCTTTTACTTTCTTCATAAAAAGTGGTTGTATCTTCCTTAACTGAAAGATTTCTTTTGGTTGTATCTTACCGTTTCGCCCATTATTATTATTATCACACTACCTTATACTAATCTGTCCGTTATTGTTCTTTTTTTATTTTACGCTCCGTACCCTCTTTTTTCTTTCGTCCCATTCTCATTGTTTTGTGTGGCGTATATATATTTGGCGTCCTCTCGTATCAATATTTGTGTGTTCAAATAAATAATGAAATGTACGCTTAAAAATTTAAAAGATAGTATGTCTCTTTATGCCGACATATTTATTTCACTGTTAATCTTCAGTCATATTGTGCGTAACTGTATCAACGGTGCATTTTGTTTGTGCGGCCCCAACTTCTAATTTAAAGGTGTTTACTAACGAAGTATTTCGTAGGTGAACAAAAACGAAAATTACAAATAATTGATATGCGGGTTGTGTCGTACTTATCCAGTTTATTTCCACTCTTAGCTGGATGTTTAAAACACAGTATTACATCTTTAACTGATTTACGCTTATACAACTTTCATGGTTTCGAATCTTACTTCTCCCATTGTGTTTTAGACACCAAAGTGGTGGCACCATTAGCCCTCATTCAATAGATATCGCTCATCTCAAGATTCATTCGCAGACTGTATAATGCTACATTTCAGGTAGTTGAGAATTTGTGTATTATTTCTCTTAATAGCTAGTTATTACGCTATTAAAGAATTAAACTATTCAGCGTGAGATAGATCTTACAATGAAATATCCCTTATGTTTACTATTCGCTATTAATGTGCTTGTTAAGCAACTAGTTTTTAGTAAGATTATCCAAATAAATTTAAAAGAGAGGTTTCTTGTCATCAAATGTGTAGTATCACAAAATAAACAATGTGTCTCAGCTTGATAATGCTCCACATTATTCTTTAGATTTACCATTATCCATTTAGGAAACCCGTGAAAATGCGTATGATTTACCGTTGGGCTGCAAATTCCAGAAATCTGTTTCATATCCTAGTTAGCAACGAAGATCTAAAAACCTGGAGTTAGGCAGTCTACTTATTCATAACTTACTCGCGCTTAACATAAGTTGATCCATTCTCGAAGCAACATCTAAGGACGATGGCAATTCTTGTAAAAATGTCTCTTAAAGCCGTGTGCAGGTTATTATTAATAACGTTTCTGTAGACATTTTATGTTAATTTTATATCTACGTATAAGAAGTGATGTTCTCACTGTATTCATGAAATCCTATTTATTTTAGATGGAAAACAGCAGGCTATCGTCTTAACGTTCAATTTACCGAAATCCAGTTACGCTACAATGGCAATACGCGAATTAACGAAAACTGTTATAGAGAAGAAATAGCATTTTATGAATATTCCTTTCTGAAACTTGATTACCTAAACCGCATCCCGTTAAATTATGTGTACTTTCCCTTATTGTTAATAGTTCTCAATTAATATGATCTATATATATTCTACTTGGGACAATTATCCAAACAGAATTTGCCACTTTGAGTCAATTAAAAACAAGGAAAATTAATCCGACATAAGTTATTATTCTATTGAAGAAGAGTAGGAATTTTTTATGACATATTGTTCTTTATCTATGTCTTATTAAGAATTACGTAGTCCTTCGCCTACTGGCCTGAAAACCCAAGACGTGAAAGTAATGATGAAAGCTCACAAGTTGAGTGTCGTGTCGGCGAAACTCTCCATTTACTAAATGCGTGATATAATAATAACTCTCCTGTTTGCACACTAGCTTTGTACTAATTATGAAACTGTTTATGATAAGTCAGCAACAACATGTGGGAGAGAACAAAACTTCCAACTGAATAGGAAATTAGGAAAAGACGCTGGAGGTGGGTAGGACATACATAAACTGCATCACGATACAAGTGCTTACATAGAATCATGGAGAGAAACGGAAGAGTAAAAGGTCGAAGAGCACTACGTCGGGAATTGGAAGCAGGCACCAAAAGGATGAATAGCCCAGGACAGAGTTCGATGGAGAATACTGATGGGCGTACTATGTTCCTCCACGAGGGGTAACAAGCGTAAATTATGAAAATCGGTAGTTAATTTCTGAGGGGAATTTGTGGTGCGAAATACAAGCTTATCTTTTTGGTAGTGATACTTCGTTGAATCAACCTTTATTGTTATGTAGGTACTGCGTTAATAGTTAAACGATGCAGCTCAGAAAGCACAGGTCACCAAAAGCTAGTCTGTGAATCAGAAATATGTTTTAGTTTCATCATCACCTTACAATTATCATCAAGAATTTTGTAAAATCGTCAAATTTATTTCACCTTGCGCCAAATTGTTTTTGACTAATGAGTGCGTCCCAATTAATTTGCACCTTACAACACACGGTGTATGAAATTTTAAATACTTTTGGCTCACATTTGGCCTATTCGGCGATTTATTATAGGACAACCATATGTACAAGCGCTTATAAAAGAATAAATATTTTATCAAAATTTAATTTGTTATAAACAACTATACAGTGTTTCATCCATTCAGGTTTAAAAGTACTTGATATCTGTTTAGTACACTAACATGTTATTCTTCCAGATCGAGGTTTACCCGACGTATGGAGGCCTTTAATTCGTCCATTTGAAATTCTTTGATATCCGCTATTGACTAGTGCTTCTTTATAACTTCCTTTTGTGAAACCACTAGGATCACGACGAAACGCTGAATCAGCTAGAATATCTAATCTTCCATCTGTTTCACCTAAAAGACATTGTGATATTTCTGAATTTTGTGCCCAGACGTTGGTTCCATCCGTTCCAGTCTGTTTTCTTTTCATTTTTAGAACTAGGCATTTGTACCGAACAGCCAAAATTATTGTACTTGTAAGGAAAAGGACGACGATTAGCCCAGAACATACTACATGAATAAGAAATTCAAATGTAAAACACGAACCATGATGATTGAACTATTGTTGTAAAAAATTTGCGTATTAGAGTTCATAACAAAGATCTAACATTCAATAACTATATGTTGGTATTAAGCTTACTTACCTGCTGTAATACAGAATAAAAGTTTTGTTAGGCATATATGATCTTGTCTGAATTCAGCTTTTTGCTTCAAATCAAGAATCCATTTTGGCAATGGACCAAACCATTTATCGTCCGCAAAATTACACATATGTGGGTACGAATCATCATCGTAATTTATCACGCTACTACTGTCCACTTCGGATTTACATACAAGTAGGTTAGCATGAGTTAAGCAACTTTTCACTGCAGATGATTCGGCTAGATGTAACTGAAAAAAGAAAGGGTTAAAAAGTTACTCAAACTCTTCAAATCATTATGCAATTGAAATATATGTAACAAATATGGTTGCTGTTATACAGACCAGGTAGCTGCTTATATTCCACAAAAAATTCACCACACATTCTTCATAAATTTCGTTTGTGATAATAATCTTGATTGAAGAGATGTACCAATAAATTTCTCGACATTATAGAACAAAACTGTCCTAGGAAAGTATGTGTTTCTGAGAACGAGATCGATACGTTTCGGAAGCTTCGTGCAAACAAATGTAAAGTCAAATGACAGTAAAAGCATTCCGGAAAATTCTTTTATAATCAGTATGATCACCCTGTGGTGATCCAGTTTTAGTGGTTAGATTGACTGAGATATTAGCTACAGTTTCGAAATTAAATGCAATTTAGTGACTAGGTTAAATCGCTGATTGTTTCAGTTTATAAGAAATGACGGAAATCCTCTTGTGACAACCACAGGGGAGTCAGTTTGAGTGATAATATGACTAAAAGACCAATCTTACTAATTATCCGACGCTTAATCAGGGATTGCGATGAGTTAGCTCCAGAAAGCCAGACTGGTTTCAGACCAGCACCTAGGTATGTAGATCAGATATTCGTATTTTGCTAGCTAATCGTTGTTCTTGGCCATGAGAAAGCGTTTCATGGCGATGTCTGTTGATGAAATGCATAGAGACAATTACATTACCTTTGTATAGACTCTTTACTCAAACACAATTGGTCAAGTCAGAGCTTATGTTGAACCGTCATCGGAATTGATGACTTCAAGTGATGTTTATTAGGGTTTTCCGCTTCATTCATTTTTACTTAACTTTGTTGTTGACATACCTTTAGAGATACTGCTCTTATCGTCTGATTTATCAGGAATCGACCTTCTACCAGGATATTTTCTTGTTCTTTTGGAATACATCGATGATAGTCCAGTTTGACTGCTTAAAACAATCCGAAAATATTTTGGATGCGTTTTCTCCATCAAAATACAAAATGTTGACACAGAACCTGCATCAACCTTTGAATTAATTATAGGGAGTGAAGTAAAATGTGTATTCTGCTTAATTTTGGAAGCTGATTGTTTGACGAAATCTCGACGCGAACTTAGCACACCCGGTCCGCCATTACCAACCTACATCTCCTTTAGTGTGAACAAGATTTCCGTCTCGCATCCAGAGGACAACTATACTGCGCAGCACTCTGCTTTTTCTAATTCATAGTCATTAAGAAAAGTGGATATTCGTAAGTCCCTAGTATACAACCACATGTGCATGTTGGAACCACTGAATGCCCCAGTGCTGAGCTTAGCCATGGAGTACTAGGTAGGCATGGCGAATCGACTGGTGATGTAGGGAATTTCCATCGGATAAAGTGGTTGAAATCTGTACTAAGTACGTCTAACCATTGCTTACCTCGATGTGCGATGATAGATGGTGTAAGAGCAAGTTGTAAAAAGGTTAGGAGGCTAAATAGAAATGTAGTATCAGTTCGTAAATTCAGTAACAATTGTGCTAAGCTGCACTGGTTTACCAATGGCTGGAGATGGGAAACATACATTGGGAGTTCCGTTGTTAAAATCAATTATGAAGGAGTGAAAACGGATTATAATAAGAATAACATGATAAGTCTTGAGGTAATGAAAAAGTGCTGAATTCACTACGCATGAGAATATTCTTAGTATTAGTTAAGAGAAAACAAGATTATGATTTACTTGAGATCCCGGAACTTTTTCAATTGTCAGACACATTCTTTCGCCACTTTCGATATTAGGATAGTCCATTGTGGCTTCTAGAACATCTCCAAGGTAAAAGACGACACCGCTGTGAGTTTTATTCTCAGACGTCTTACTTATTGGTGAAATAACATCATCGGACTGTAATGTTTTGTAGAAATAACGCATGTCAGTAACTTTAGGAAGCAGGCTATTTAAGAAAGAGCACTTGTCAGCTGCCTGAACCCAGCTCCGGATTGTTACATTCCTGTACCATGTAAAGTTGACTCTTCTTCCATGTAATCCAACCCGTTCTATGCGATAACCTTCTGGTTGTTCAGTTCGCAGTAGGCTTTCAGTAAAGAGTAAATGAATTGAGTATATAACAATTAGTGATGCTTGTGTTATTTTCATCATGACACAAGTGATATACAGATATGAATCTGTGAAACTGAGACAAGAAAATGTTAATAAAACTATAACGAAATTGTTACGGCACAAATAAACACTAAAGAAAATTTGATTGGTTAGTTATAAGTATTCCATAATTATAAATTCGTATTTGCAAATTAAAATGCAGAATTATGTTAATTAGCATAAAACAAGCAAATGACAAACCTATTATTGTAGAGAACGCTAGTGAGTGACCACTATGTTGGTTTGACGAGCAAATAGTAAGTACGTATTTTATGCATCAGGGTTGAGATAGAACAACACAAAGATAATACTATACACGATAACTTACTTAACCAAATTTATTTATTTGGTCAGCAGAAAATAAGCACCAACAACACTTTTACAGTTGTGATCTTCGATCACAACTGCTAGTTTAGATAAATGCACAAAACTTAAAAATAAATAACAGTTCAGTCATCGATGTAATAGATTGACAAAACGTTTCCGAGAAATCCTCAAGTTAGTTACTTTGACATTAGTTCAACCAACATCACGATAAGTCAGAGTGAAAGTCAAATTGGAAATATTTTCTATGTATAATGCAGTGATCGTTGATGAAAAAGTGGAAAGATTTCTATATCATTCGAAAGGAACAAAAAAACTTTCATAGGTTTTCCGTAAAAACGACATTAACTTGAAATAACAACCAACCTATAACCTTACCATATTGGTAAAGAGAAAGCCTATTTCATTTATTTATTTAAGCACTTAAACATTGGTAAAGGTGGCACCAAATAAACCACTCGATTTGTATGAGGGCTGACATACTGCACGGTTATAAAAACTAAAGTAGGTGGTCACTCTACGAAGGTCTAATCCACAAGGAAGTGGAGCAACGTGAGGAGATGCAGTCCCATGGTAGCCGGTCATCAACACTAGGTTCATACTCCATTTGTTCCCTCACCATTGATTTAGAATCAGAATTTTCCAACTCCCCTAGGTGAGTTCACCGGATCCACCAACCCGGTTAAAGCGCTGGAGATTTGCTTCTCGTCCTCTCAATCTCCTAAACAACTGTAATGTAGCGAGAAGGCAGTAAGTAGAACTTCCCTGACAGCGGTTGTATACGCGCGATCATATGAAGGCGTTTCTGCGGGAGAACTGACTCTTCACTCCTGGGGCATTTGGGGGGCCAAAACAACTATGCCAGGTTCTATGACAATCATTATTGAGAATAGCATTAACAGCTATTTACAAAATGTAGAAATTATCT